GTGCATGTGTTTGTGTGTGCGTGTGTGCATGTGTGGTGTGCACATACACACACACACAGAGGCCAAAGGAGGACACCAGGCATCCGAGTCTATCACTCTACACTTTACCCCCTTGATGCAAGGTCTCCCAGTAAACCTAGAGATAGGTTGGCGTCTAGTTCCCCCCCCCCCCCCCCCCCCCCCCCCCCCCCCCCCCCCCCCCCCCCCGCCGCCATGATCCTCCTGACTCCTCCCTCTCTGAAGTGCTGCCATAGGCATGTGCAGGCACACCTGGTCTTCCTGTGGTTTTATGAACTTGAACTTGGGTCTTCACACTCAAATACAAAATGTATCTTACCCATGGAGCCATCTCTCAGGTCTATTGCTGTCTTTTTCTAAAGATATTTACAAAGAACTTTCCTTAGCCATAGATTGCTTTTTTTAAATGTTGCCACAAATAGAAGGCACCCGAGAAAGCAACTCGAGGGAAACAAACAGCATATGCATTCCTGGGCAGGTGCTGGCGCCTGGGGATTGCTGGAAGATCAGAGAGGTGTTACCAAGGCAGGAGCATCAAGGAGGCTGGGGGAGAATTGAGCAGCTATGGCTCAGGGAGCACCAGTGAGCCTTCCTTTATTTTGAGGAGAACTGAGCAGTTCCGTCTTGTGTTTATGACAGAGAGACAGAGAGACTAGAAAAGTTCCCTTGTTTTCAAGTATCTAGCAGGATGAAGGCACATGCCAGACCTATAAACTGTTCGGTGCCTTGCTAATCTGACCTGAGCCCTGTGAGACCCACAACTCGCCAGGCTACAACAGAGGCTTTTCACAAGTGCCTTTTCCAGACCCCTGATGCTCACACAGGTCTGGTTAGATGGTGACACTCCGCAAGCATTAACCCAGGCAGGTAGCCAAGGAAATGGACCTGCCATGCGGTGGTACAGCCAGAGGCGCTCTGCATTTGGAGTCTGACAACCTGTACTACCTGCAACAAAAGCTGTGTCCCAGGCAAATTAATTTCCCCAGACCTGACTAGTATCACCCAGGAAGCTAGAGACGCAGCTGTCCTCCATGCCATGAAAGTGCCATAAGATGGTGACTACTACTCACCTGGCACAGGGTAAAGCAGACATGAGGGGACCTGGAAAATTAAACAACTAATTGGTGTGATTCTGGCCCTGGGAGCCGTCATAACTATCAGTAGGAAACACAAGCTTGACCTGAGGGTTTCCTTCATCCTGCCCAGACCTCTCAACTCCGGGTCCTCTGCACACCAACTTCAAATTCCACATTGCAAAAAATGCTTTTTTGTCAAGAATAACCTGGAAGGCTAAATCTCAATTATACTATCATTTTAAGACACACTGCAGCTGTGAAAACCATGGCACTTCTTCCTCGGTAAGAAGTGCTTTCTTGGAAACGAAGTCAGTTGGGATCCTCCCTCTCAACTGCTCTGTGAAGCTGGAAGACACTCCCAGCTGTGCTGGCACTGAATTTCTGCATAGAATATTATGCAGCATTCAGCCAAACACCGCCCAGCTCTTCCCAAACTCTGGCTTTCCCCCCAAATATTTCTAATGTGTTTGAACAGACTTCTCTGCTGCTTTTCTCTGTGGGTCACAGAGCAGCCAGCATCACTTAACCCTGGACAGGGGACTGTCATGAGGCATATTCCCCTGAAAGGCCAGAACTACCAAAACCCAATGGAATCAGAATAAAACGGGCCCTGTCACCCCAGATACAGAGCACTATTTGGGTGGATGTCATTACACTTTGGGGTTTGTGTAGAACAGAGCTACGCATCTGGATTCCTAAGGAGCACTAGTTTGTAAAGAATAATCACTCGTCCCTGGGGAGGGGAAATGCTATGGCCATATAGCTTTCAGAAAGAAGACAACAGTTGAAGAACAATTAATAAAATCTCAGAGACAGATAGTAGAGTTCAACCTGAAGACCAGAAAAGCAGAACAGCCAGCCACTGGCTCTTACCTCTACCTCTGTCTGAAATTGCGATCCTGCCTCCAGGAATCTCAGAATGGGACTGTGTCTGAAAGGCGTCTCCTCCCATTTTATATTCCTCCCTAGTGCTGGGATTAAAGGTGTGCACCACCACTGCCTGGTTTCTATGGCAAGCTAGTGTGGATACTGGGATTAAAAGTGTATGTCTTTGTGGCTACTTGGATCAAAGGTGTGTGTCATCACTGCCTGGTCTGTAAAGCTGGCCAGTGTGGCTGTTTGACTTTTCTGATTTTCAGGCAAGCTTTATTTATTAAAAGACAAATGAAATATCACTACAACCAGGCTTAGTAAAACCTCTCAGAGGTTCTAAACACTGTGTTGGGGACATCTCAGGGGCTCGTTAAGGGCAGTCTGTGGGCTGTGGCGGTCCACACCTTTAGTCCCAGCACCCAAGAGGCAGAGATGGGTGGATCTCTGTGAGGACAAGGCCAGCCTGGTCTACACAGTAAATTCCAGAATAGACAGTGATTCCCAAATACAGGATTCCTTTTCTTTTCTTTTTTATTTCCCCCACCAAGTATCTCAAAGTATCGGTGTTTTAGAGTATACAGCTCTTGGAGAAAGTCTTGGTGGCAGGAAACCTCTGCTTCTGCACACCCAGCCAGCTTGTCTGGACCAGGCCACCCATCCTCCTGAGAAGCAGGGTCAGGCCCCTACGTACTGTCCTCCATGGCATCTTCCTACCCATTGAATGCTCCCCAGTACAGATCATCGGGGGAAAAGCCAAGCTCTTCCAGAACAAGACTGTGACTTCTATGCTGGTGACAAGGAAGGTGGGACAGCATAGCCCATGATAAAGACCAAATACCATTAGTCATGCAGAAAACCATCCAAAGTGACTGGCCACCAGCACCCCTAGAAAGGCTTGCTGAGGCCCCAGGGCTTCTGATGCAGAGGCTGGAGAGGCCCCTGCATTTTGGAGAAAAGCCTCTATTTACGAAGCCTTCACACCAGTCCCTTGGTGGTCCCCACCCTCCAGCCAGAAGGTTACTATCAAGGTCAGCTGTCCTTGCAGCAATACAGCACCAATACCAGGCACATGAATGGGGAACAGTTTGCTCAAACATTTCAGCCATCTGAGGAAGTCAAAAGATACACTGCCCCCTGTGGCAACTCTAATTACCACTGGACATTTATTCAGGAAACATGTGTACCAACCATAGGCCAAGACTTCTGCTAAGTGCTAGACACCCTTGCTCATCAGCCATCTTCTCTGTCATTGCAGACTTTGGAACCCAGTGCTCATGCACAAAGACAGATCAAGGCCCAGGGCACCAGCTTTGCCTCATTCCCTTCATAAATCCTTCCCATCTTAAGTCAGTGAAGGATACCAATCTTCACCGCCACCCCCCTTCTCTACAATGTTCAAGCTCCCCCAGGAGAGCCCAGGAGCTGGTATCAGGCTCTTTGGACATAGTGGACAAGAAGTCAGTTCTTTCCTTCTGCCATATGGGTTCTGGGGACAAAACACAAGTTGTCAGGCTCAGCAGCAAGCCCCTTAATTTGTTGCCCCTCCATGACAGCCCCTACGCCTTTCTTTAAATCAAGTGCCACCTGGAAGTTTTCCCAGCTAAGTCTGGACCTACATTTAGCATGGTCCACAGGTGTATACATTCCCACTGCCCAGGCAGATGGGGAAAAGCTTGGGCCTTAGGGAGAAGTACCCACTGGACAAAGGAAAACACCTTAACCTAGAACAGAAGGACCTCCGTTTCCGTCCCAGTTCTGTCCCTAACTTGCTGTGGCATCTTCGCAAGTCAATTCCCTCTCTGAGCCAAATCTCTCAACTCAAGTAAACTGCGTGAACAAAGAATTAATAAATTCCGCCCTCCCCTCCTGCCTTTCTCTTTCCTTTCCCTCCTCCCATCTGCTTCCTCAGCTAGGATTGTTGCAGTGAGACTACCCAGGTCTCTCCTCCAGCCCCAGAAAGCAACCTGGAAGCTGGGGCACTCTTACGTGAAGAATCTGTAAACAGCCCGCTCAGGACATCTAGGCTGAAGGACCAGAACACAGCACAGAACCTATGAACAGAAGCAGCGGCCAGGTCCCTGAGCACCCTGGAGTCAAAGGTGAATCAGCCTGCCCAGAAAACTGAACCTCCGAAAGCCGTCAGGACTGGCCCATCACATGAGCACCATGAAGAGGGTCTACCCCAGCTGCAGTGGCCTGGGTGACCCCCTAATTAGACTTTCATAGTGAGCCAAGCAGCCCACACGGTCCGACTGCCAGCTGGGCCTCCCATCAGCTGGTGGCTGAGTTAATGAACCCTTGAGGGGCTAGTGGGGCTCATTACAGACAAGATGAGGGAATAAGGGACTAAGGGACCCCTGTGTCCTCAAGGCCTGCCCTCCCCCTCTCCTCCATGCTTACACTTAGCACGTGAGGGGGGCTGGTTTCAAATCAAGAGGAAGGAGGGGCCAGTACGAGACCCCAGCTGTGCACACCCCCTGTCGATAGCCCCAGCCACAATTCAGGGTGTAACTGGAAGTCTTTGGAACCTTTCTCGTCAGATAGAGACCATTACTACTCAGGGCTTTAGGATATCGAAGGGCCGGTGTGTCGTAAATAAGAAGGTAGGAGAGTGTTTAGGTACTGAGGTCATCCAGAACGGCAAGGAAGAGGGATGCTCTGTGAACCCAATCCTCGAGAAGACATCCTAAGGACACAGAAGCTGAGCTGATGCCCAATTAAAACCCAACCAGATAGAGTCGGGATGTGCTGAAAAGAGGTACAAAGTCTGCTGGGCATAAGCTAAAGTAGCTCCATACCACCCATCTAACTCTATAGCGACCTTCTGCATGGAAGCCATCGCCATTTTACTTGGTGCATGAGAACAACCAGCTCCCGGAAGCTGCAGAACCTAGTACGTTGCAGGACCTTGCAGGACCTTGCAGGACCTTGCAGGTCAGGATCTGGTTTTAGCCTCCTTCACTCATTGCCTCTGCCAACAGCTCTCCTGCCCAGGGCCACCTCCCATCCCAGGACCCGCAACCAACTTCTCACTTGAACTGGTGTTCCCGGGAGCTGCGGATCTTGGAGGAGAAGCGCTCGGCCAGCTTCTCCAGGCTGCGGGAGTACTCCAGCTCGATCTCAGCTTTCCTGCGGAAGAACTCCTGCAAGTCTTGCAGCAGCTGCAGCCGCGACTCTGACTGCTGCTCCAGGCATTTGAACTGCTCCACCAGCTGCATGCGGATCTCTGTGGGAGGCAAGGAGCTGATGAGCATCAGGCTGTGGCTGGGAACAGCAGTGGACCCATGCTTCCCAGAACCCACACAGAGCCCCAACTTTGCTATGCAGAGATTTGGCAAGGGCCCCTTTCTGCCATACAGTCTAATCTACTGTTTCCCAGGCTTGAGTTGCTCCCTGTTGCCATCAAGGTTCCTGACTGATGCACAGGCCACTGGCTACATTGTTACTCCACATGATTAGCTGACTAACTTTTCTCACTGGAATGAATTTGCTTAAACTAAAAAGCTATACATCACTCCAGCCCTTGCACCCTGGGATATCGGAAATGAGTTCTATGAAAATAACTTTTTAAAGTCCTATTTACACACTACAACTGGGGCTTGCCAAAGGGTCAGAGGCCTTGCCCAAGAGGCTTATTCTTTGTCAACAAGAAGGAGGTGGCCGGGGAGAAATGATAAGATTTTTCTCATTAGTGCAGGCAGGACCCAAAAGGTATTTGGAGCTCCAATGTTCTTCAAGGTCCTGCCTATACTGCTTTCAATTACTCTAAGCTCCTAAACATCTCAAGTACCTCTAAAAGAACCTAGTCCACACTTGGAGAAGAACTGACTGATGGAGCTGGGTCTGGACAACCAGGAGGAATGTTCAAAAGCTGGGAGGTGAACTAAAACAAAACAAATGAAACAAACAAACAAAAAAAAAACCCTCACCTCAGTCCTTAAAAACCTTAACTGTCCTGATGTCCTAATGGTCACAACCCAATATTTTATCAAATCCTAATACTGTCACTACAATTCAGGTGCAGCAACCCCTTCCTGGGTCCTCAATAGATCCAGCTCTTCAAGATGACACATTTGCTCTTTACTGACAACCTTCTCAAAAATACCCAGGCTCCCTTCTGCCTAAAGGTTACATCCAGTCCCCTTCCACAGCCCATGAATTTTTTAAGTCACTCAAGCCAATCCTTCAAAGGTCCAGTGTCCCCTTACCATATCATTATATGAGGTGGGGGGGGGCTGCAAACCAGTACAGAGCCATGCAGGGAAACAGCAAGACTTCCCAATGGGTTTGCAGACAGGAGTATGAAGGATCCACCTAAGAGCCTAATTTCCATCACTATGCTCTCCAGCTCAGCTTGAGAATGCCACCCTCTTCCCACCTTACTCTTCAAAATGGTCCTGCTCCCAAAAACCAAGGCAGAATTCATCAAGAGTCTAACTATGATGGAAGACCCCAAAAATGTCAAAACTGTCTGGGTGTTCGAAAAGAGCAATTTCAAATATTGGTGCTAGAAAACCTTCATTGAGAGACTGAGCCAGCAATCTAGGGTAAAGCAGGCCTGAGGCAGCAAATTCCACAGGAGCAGGGGGTCTGGGATGGTGAACTCCACAGGAGCAGGAGCAGCTGATCCAGGACAGGGACATTTGCAGAAGCAGGACTGGGCCAGCGACCTAGGCCAGAGCAGGCCTGAGGCAGTGAACGCCACAGTAGCAGGACTGTCAGTGACCTAGGCAAGAGTGGGTCTGAGGCACCAAATTTCATAGGAGTAGGACTGAACCAGTGACATAGGCTGGGGCCGATCCAGACCAGGGACATTTGCGGAGCAGACCTGAAACAGCTAACTCCACAGGAGCAGATAGAGGGGAGCAACTACTGAGCAAGTAGGCCAGAGTCAGAGATTGCTGCAGGTCCTTGTGTGAATCTGGGACCTCTGAGGGAGTAGGCCTGAGCCAGGTCTCCTAAGGGTCTGGCGCACCTGAGTCTGGGACCTCTGAAGGAGAAGATCACAGCCAGAGACCTTTACAGGACCAACCCTAAGCCAGGGATCTCCCCTGGAGCAGATCCAGACCAGGGACATTTACAGAAACTGAGTCTGAGCTGGGAATCTATACCAGAGCAGGCCTAAGACAGCAAACTCCACGGGAGCAGAGCAAACCCTGGGAGCACTGAGTGACCTCCAGGAACACAAAGTGACCAATGGGATAACTAGAACCATGGCACTGACTGTACCACGAAGAACAACCATCTGAACCTCGGATCCACTGGCACCCAGAAGATTAATCATCAGAGTCACAGACAGCCCCAACTACACCAACCAAAGGAAAAGATGGGTAGACAAGGTAAGAACACATGCAACACCACAAAGAGCAAAACAACACCAGTAAAATCTAGAGACCCTATAACAGCAAGACTTCAACAACCAAATATAGATGAAGCAGAAGAAAATGACATAAAAAATAACTCCACGAGAATGCTTGAAAATCTTAAAGAGGAAATGAGAAATTCCCTCAAAGAAATGGAGGAAAAGACAAACAAATAATTGGAAGACATCAGCAAATCCCTTAAAGAAAACCAAGAAAAAAAGCAAACAAACATATGAAAGAAACTATTCAAGACTTGAAAACTGAAATAGAGAAAACATAAGCCGAGGGAATTAAAGAAACAGAAATCACGAGAAAGTGATCAGGAACCACAAATGCAAGCATAAACAGCAGAATACAAGAGATAGAAGAGAGAATCTCAAGCACTGAAGATACAATAGAGGAAATAGAATCATCAGTCAAAAAAACATTAAATCTAACAAAAGCTTAACACAAAATATCCAGGAAATATGGGATACCAAGAAAAGATCAAATATTAGAATAATAGGTACAGAAGAAGGAGAAGTTCAACTCAAAAGCACAGAACATATATTTAACAAAATCATAGAAGTAAACTTTCCCAACCTAAAGAAATATATGTCTATGAAGATACAAGAAGCATACAGAACACCAAATAGACTGGATAAAAAAAAAGTCCCCTCACCACATAATAATCAAAACACTAAACATACAGAATAAAGAATATTAAGAGCTGAAAAGGAAAAAGGCCAAGTAACATTTAAAGACAGGCCTATCACAATTACACCTGACTTCTCATCTGACACAATGGGTCATGGTCAAGCATTATGCAGACATTAAGAGACCAAGGATGCCAGCCCACACTACTATACCCAGCAAGACTTTCAATCACCATAGATGGACAAAACAAGATATTCCATGACAAAACCAGATTTAAACAATACAGACCTAGCTCTACACAAAGTACTAGAAGGAAAACTCCAACCCAAGGAAGTTGGCTACATCAACAAAAAGACAGTTGATGATATCATAGCAGCAAATCCCAAAGAAGGGAAAAACACACAAGTTAGCATCACCAACAACAAAAACTAAATTAACGGGAGATAGCAATCACTGATTATTAGTATCCCTTAATATAAATGGACTCAACTCACCTATAAAAAGACGCAGGCTAACACATTGGATACAAAACCAGAATCCATCCTTCTGCTGCATACAAGAAACACACCTCATCCTCAAAGATAGACATCGCCTCAGAGTAAAGGGTTGGGAAAAAATTTCCAATCAAATGGACCTAAGAAACAAGCTGCTGTAGCTATCCTAATATCTAACAAAATAGACTTCAAATGAAATCAATCAAAAGAGACAAAGAAGGATATTTCATATTAGTCAGAGGAAAAATACATCAAGAGGAAATCTCAATACTGAACATCTATGCCCCAAATACAAGGGTACCCTCATATTTAAAAGAAACACTTCTAAAGCTTAAATCATACATTAAAGCCCACACACTAATAGTGGGAGACTTCAACATTCCACTCTCACCACTGGACAGGTCAGTCAGACAAAAAATTAACAGAGAAATAAGGGAACTAATAGATGTTATGACTCAAATGGACTTCCCAGACATCTACAAATATTCCATCCAAACATAAAAGAATACACCTTCTTCTCAGTACTTCATGAAACCTTCTGAAAAATTGACCATATACTTGGTAACAAAATAAACCTCAACAGATACAAAAAATTGGAATAATCTCATATATCTTATCAGATTGCCATGGCTTAAAGCTAGAATTCAACAGTAATTCTAATTCCAGAAAGCCCACAAACACATAGAAATTGAGCAATGCTCACCTGAATCATCAATGGGTCAAGGAAGAAATACAGGGAGAAATTAAAGACTTTCTAAACGTCAATGAAAATGACCATACAAAATACCCAAATTTATGGGACACAATGAAAGCAGTGTTAAGAGGAAAATCCATAGCACTAAATGCCTACATAAAGAAGCTGGAAAAATTCCACACTAGTGAATTAACAAAACATTTGAAAACTTTAGAACAAAAAGAAGCAAACTCACCCAAGAAAATTAGACAGCAGGAAATAATCAAATTGAGATCTGAAATCAGTGATAAGACCCACGTGCTAATCTCACTTCTGGAATTGGTGTGTGACCTGTGGTGGCTCCCTCTCTCTCTGGGCTGTGTGGCCATCTTAAGACTGAGAATATAGGGCAAGCTTTCAAAGCTGAAGGTTCCTGTGTCTTTCTCCTTTAACTTCCGTGGATCTGTTACACCTATATTCTCTCCCACCCACTCTCTACCTATTATTTTAGAAGAAAGCCTTTTAGACTTCTTTAAGGCCCTTGGAAAAGTACCAAAGAGAGTATTGTTTATGGTGTATATATCCTGCAACTAAAAACTTAAAATCAATCAAACAAACAAAAAACAAAAGCATAGACCCAGAAAGACAATTATCATATGTACTCATTCATAAGTGGTTTTTAAACATAAAGCAAAGAAAACCAGGCTACAAATCACAACCCCAGAGAACCTAGACAACAATGAGGACTCTAAAAGAGACATACATGGATCTAATCTACATGAAAAGTAGTAAAAGACAAGGTCTTCTGAGTAAATTGGGAGAATAGGGACCTTGGGAGATGGTTGAAGGGGAGGGGAGCAGAGAAAAATGTAGAGCTCAATAAAAATCAATAAAAACCAATAAAAAATGATAAAGAAAAAAAGAAAAGAAAACCTTCATCGATTCAAAGGACCACAAACCATTTGTACTCAAATTAATTCATTAATAAATATAACTTTAAAAATCAAAATGTCTATTTCAATTTGTATATAGGTTGAAAAGAACTATGGTAATCAATTTA